AAAAAAGGGAATAGTTTGCCGCTAAAGGGTCAGTTAGCCCGCTAGAGAGATGCAACTCACAGGAAGGAACCCATTTATCTTACATACCACATACCATCACAACAATTGGCCAGTTTGTGTGATTTTGTAGTGCAATTGTTTTCAATGTATTGGACATCGCACGCTTCAACAACACTGGCTGCATAGAAGAAGAATTTAGTTGAAGGAGCTTTTGCCGTTTTGAAGTTTGGATCACCGCGTATCGGAGGGAAGAAAACAACTTTTCGCGGCCAGACTCCCCAGGCCTATTCTCCTCTCCTTTTTGCCGAATTCTACGATCCGTAGTTCCGTAGAAAGACATGGTACAGGCTTGGGAAATAGTCTGTTGCTTCGTTCACAAAAAGACTCTCTGGCCACTATAACTATCATCTTCAAAAAAACCTACACTATACACACACACAACACCCACCAAAACAATATCACACTGTCGAAGGCATGAGACCTCCGAACTCTAGTTTTCTCTAAGTTCTCACTGTGAATTTCCTGTGATTCAGACAAGAGATGGTCTTGTCTGTCTATGAGTTTTTGTACCATTTGGTTGTAGGCCTGAATGATACTGTTGTCTCTCTGCTGTTTCTGTTCAATCAGGGTTTTCTCTTTTCACCCCAAATCTCTGATGAAGCCACAGTAACTTTCCAGAATGTTCCTCCCCTCATTTATCAATGCCTGGACTGTAGATCTACTTCCCTGTGCAGCTTTTTTAAGGCCTGTGGTAGGATGTCCATCATGGCTTTCTTCACAACACTCAGTACAAACTGGCAAGTTACACTGTTTACAGTAGAGCTTGACTTCCTCTGAGGGGTGAAAACTGCACCTGTTTCCAGACTGGGGTTGCTTCTCTGTTTCCTCTAGCAGGGTTTCTTGCCTCCGGACTTTCTCACACATGTTGGCTGCCATGAGATTGTCCGGCAAACCTGCGACCCCCTGGGGTGGCAGCCTGACCTGTAGACGACAGTTTGGGCACTGGAAGGGCATCCGAACCTCTGCATGGTCCCGTAGACAGTCCTGACAGAAGGTGTGCTGACAGGGCAGCACTTTTGGCCTGGTGAACAGCTCCAGGCAGATGCTGCAGGACAGTTCTTCATGAACTTCTCTCTTCAAACTTGACGGTGCAGAGCCCATGGTTTTTGCTTCCTGCTTAGTTTATACGTGGCAGTCACATTCCAATGTGAACCCTTTAAGCAAATAGCAGTGTGCACACTGCACAAAAACTTAGATTTACCGGGCCAGTAGATTTGGGTAATGTTTACTTTGTTTTTTTTTTATAAACACTTCTGAACTTTACAACGGCAGTAAATTAAAGTGAAGTACGATAATACCAGACTTTTAAGGGTTGTAAAAGAAATTACTGCAATTTATCTTTATTTACTATGGTTATAAAGCCAGATACTGTGTACGTAGTAAACATAACCTGAATTTACAACCTTTGGTAAATCCAACTTCTCGTGCAGTGGTGGGGTAGTGGTCAATCTACTAGTAGATATTTCAAGATTTTTAAAAAATCTGGAGATTTCTTTCGAGATTTTTTCATTTTCAATGAAGCATGAAGGGTCTCACTGGGGGGTATTATGATCCATTGGGTGACAGGGAACCCTTTCACATAATATCAGATGTGTAGGTTTAAGTAGTGAAGGGCTAGAAGCACTAGTCCAAAGAACTCTGCTCAGTCCAAATATATATATAATCTGCTTGCTGTTTCATATTTCTGTCATTATGGAAGGACATATTACAATCATGTAATTTGTTGAATTGTTCACTACAGTACAGGTACAGGTTCAGATCCGGTCCTGTACCTAAACCCGTGTACCTGTACCTAAAATTTGTTTACTATAATAGGTACAAAGCTTTAACTGCAGAACAAACAGTGAAGGCCCCTGTTGAACAACTGCTTAAGTAAGAGCCTGGACAGCCTGCCAACAGACCTTTCGCTGTCCCACATGTTTGCCCTGTTCGTAACAGCTATTTAACCTCCTTGCTACTAGTAAAAACATTATCTTAACACACAAATGTACACAGTGTATTAGATTGTATGATAGCCGATACTTACATGTATACTAATACTTACTAATAACAAATTTATTATTTTCTAGTCTCTATGCCAGACCAAACAGTGGAGACCCCTGTTGAACACTCGCTTCAGTAAGAGTCTGGACAGCCTGCCTACAGACCTCTCCCTGTCCCATGTGTTTGCTCTTTTCGTGATGGCGGGTTTCCCGGAGGTTCTGTGCCCCGGATCACAGGCCACACTGCAGGACAATGTGGGGGACATCAAACCTGTTGTGGTCGTCAAGCATTTCTCAGAGAAGGTAGGGAATAACTGTAACAATTAGTCCCATAGCCTCTATAGGCTGCAGGGGCAGTGGGTTGTTAGACAAGTCCATTGTATCTAGGGCACGGTATTGGAATGGGGCAAAGCATTTCTCAGAGAAGGTAGTGCACAACTTTTTGTGTATTTTAACTATTTGATCCTTCAATGCGACATTACCTCATGGTCCACTGTTCACTTGGCAAAGGGGAAATCACATAAAACCTAATGTATATAGACATCCCATTGTACACTTATCTGTTCTTTTTGTAATGTTAACTATTAAGTAAGTGAAAGGTTGTCTTTCATGGCAAGCTAAAACTTCATCAAGAAAAACATTCATTTCCAAGCTTTACTTCCAGAGAGCAGGACTGTTTGGCCTGTGCAAGTTTTTTAACTCCAAAGTAATGCCAAAACTGTACAAAGAGCCATTCTCATGTGATTCATTCTTTCCTTAGGGTGAGGTGATGGTCATGGATGTGAGGTCACGGAGGAGGAAGACGGTCAAGGATTACCAGCTGGACCACCAGGTTGGGAACAATACCACTTTGTTTTCTCGTCCCTATGCCATGGCAGGATAATTCCTTGTGATCATCAAGATGATCAAGGCTCCTTTCAGCACTTGGTATCTCCCTGAGAGAATTCCCTCCCACTGTTCCCTGCACGCATAGCCACAATCTCCAGTTTGTTTCTTCAAGACCTTCCTCGAAGAAGCACTTAGAATTTACATGGTAGTAAATATGTGTAGAGTCTAGGAAACAGAAATCTCATACAATGTAGTTTAGTCACAGTTTTCTCCCAGACAGAAATCATTTTACCTGGTCCAGAAAGCACATGTATTTGAAAATATTTTTTCAAAAAACTTTTGGATTAGTCACATATGCTTGTAGTTATGCAGCACAAAATGCCATACATTGTACCTTGAACAATTGTCAAACAATGACATTTCACTCAATTTTGTATTTTATCTGTAACATGCAGGTCCAGCAGGAGCCTGTGCTTGACGGTGAGCGTTTTGGCAAGCTGCTGACGATCCTGTCCGGTGTGAGTCGTGAGCTTGTAGAGGCTCGGGAGGACAGGAGCAGGGTGGAGAGGGTCTGGGTACTGGCACTCACACTCAAGGCTGTGCTGCTCTGTATAAGGGTAGGTATGTTTGTGTGTGTGTCTGTATGTGTGTGTGTGTGTGTGTGTGTGTGTGTGTGTGTGTGTATGGTGTTCAGCACCAAGGACAGGTGTTTGTGTGGATGGTGTTCAGCACTAGCGACAATACAATGTGTGTGTTTGCGTGCGCACGTGCGTGTGTGTGGATGGTTTCAGCACCAAGAACAGGCATGTTTACCTGTGTGAATTCAGCACCTAATGTGTGTTGCGTGTGAATGCTATTTAGCACTGCATAATTATGAAATGAAAACTTTTCAACAGTTTTTAGTCCAGTGGCAACACAGCAGTAAATCTTGTCTCTTATAAGTTTGTAACACTGTAACACTGAGTTTGATGTATTAAGTTCTCCACATGTCGTTTCAGAATGATAAGAACGGGAGGTGCACCCGGGACCTGGTAGAGCAGGGCCTGTGTCCCGCCCTGGTGCAGCTGGCCAGCAAAGGCACCGGCTTCAGTCGCCAGTGGCTCCTAAAGGACCTCGAAGTCCTCGGTGTCACCCTGTACCGTCCCGAGAAACCCAACAGCGAGGAGAAGGCATCTTCCGAGACATCTTCGGATTCCGAGGCCACCCCGGCCTCGAAGGACGTGACCCCGGACATGCCGGTTGCGCAGGGGCTCGATCCGTGCGAGGGATTGGACGAAGCGACGAAAATCTGCTTCCAGATCACCCACGAGGCGCTGGGAGCACCGATGGCCATTCTGCGGGCGATCTACGAGCTCCACGGGAAGCAAACCAACGACCTGCTGGATGAGGTGCAGAAGTGTTTCGATGGTGACGCTTTCCACGCATCGGAGGAGGTCCGGAAGATGGCGGCAAAATGGCAAGTGACGTCGGAGTAGGTTTTGTCTCATGTACCGTCTAGTGTGGTGATTCAAGGGTGCATTTTTTTTCTTTTTCTTTCTTTTACTTTACATCACACTCACTCACAGCAAATGTGCCTTTTTGAATGAGTTGCAGTGATTTTCTGTACATTTGCATGCATGTTTTACTTACAAAGATAACAAGGTTTCAGAAACAATTCTATCAGTTAGTTAGTTAGAAATCCTGATGTAATTGACAAGTAACCACTCTCTAAAACACGGGGTTCATTCTTTCCTATTTTGGACATTTGAAAAGAGCACAAAACTAAGGTACATCTCTAAAGGACCACTCTGTTTTGAAGTCCTACTAAATTTTTGAACCTACTGATTTGCTGTGGGATAGACTGTATATATATTACAGCACATTATGAACCAATGACATCACAATTACTGTACGAATTGCCCTGAAAATTCATTGAATTCCTTTAACTCTTGGTTGTAAATTTAAAGACACTTTTTACCAAGAATCACACAATGCTTATACATAACTGTCAAACATATTGCAGGGAGCCAAAAGTTGAGCACACTCCTGAGGATTTTGAGAGCCGTGCGACTGACGTAGGCGTGATCCCGTTCATCCCCCTCCCGATGAAGCCCTCGGCACACCTGGTCGCTGTGGAGGAACCCTCCACCTGCGGGGAGAAACTCATCAAGACGTCCGAGGCTGAGCTCAGGGACAGGTGAGATGTCTTAGGATTTTCTTTCCTTTATGTCTCCATCAAAAATCATTGAGGTAAAATGTTACATGATATAAATTAAGTCTAAATGACATATGGTGACATATATAGGGGGACCAGTCCCTGGAGCTCTGACCTGCCACTTGCTACATAAATGTAATCCTACACCTTAGGGTGTCTGCTATGACATTAGTTACAATGGTGACATCCTCTGGTCAGGTCATTGATCTTATTTGTTTTGAGAAAAGAAGAAGAAACAGCAAAAACACATAATCTAGTCTAAACAACTAGACTTAAAGTATATTCCTCCCCCCCACAGTTATGAGAAGCAGCAGAGGTCTAAGAGCTCAGCACTGCTGAAGAAGGAGGTACAGACTCATGGGAAGGCAGCCTCAAGGAAATACCTGTATCAGGTGAGGGGTAGTGTAGGTTACACCTGTAGATGGTGTAGTTTATCTAGTATAATGAATCATATCGAATCTATGATAAAACTACAGTCACTGAACATTATTCGGTTTTAATGGCTGGCAATCCAATTTTTGTAAAAGTCTGCAAGCCATTGGTTCTATAGCCACATCTTGGCATGTTTGAAAAATTGACCATGTTTCATGGTAAAAACTTAGAAGTTAGAGGTTCAGATACATGCCTATAACATTAATCTTTCACTAGAATCTAGCTCATGAGGCCTGTCCTTGGTGCTGAACTGTTGTGAGATCAAGCCTAGTTCTCAACCTAAACCATCCAGCTAATAAGAAATGAGTGCATGTTGTATTATATATAATATCATATACTTGATGTGTGTGTGTATTGACCATCCTGGTTGCCATTTCAGGTGAACATGGCGGTTGCCACCCTGTACGCGCGCCACGTGCTGTGCTCGGTGCTGGCCAACTGGCCCGAGAGCAGCACGATAAAGAGCGAGACACTGGGGTTCCCGCCGGGGCTAGAGACACACCTCGCCAGCCTGCTGGACCTGCTGCAGAGAGTTGTTGAGAAGGTCAGAATTTTTTTAGATATGTTTACTGCACATTTGTAACATGCATAGTACCCATAATGAAATGAAACATAGTACGTAAAATTACACTGTCACACCTTAATTTGTTGTAGCTTTTAGGGCTAGGGTTTACAAATACATCCAAACTACTGCAGATGTCTCAAAGAAAGTTGAATGCAGGCCAAAGATCTTGCCACTTTTTTCTGACAGCAAGGGCTACAATGCACTTGTCACACAAAAAATCATGACATTAAAATGTGCCAAAAAAAAATGCAAGCAACTGCAGTTCTAGTTTTTAGTAATTGAAAATGACTTTTAGCACACACAATTAAACAGTACATTCTGTGGTATACATTGTAAACAATGCTTACTATCAATAACTAATCATCACTTTGTGTTGACAGGATGACTTCCAGCAGGTAGTAGAGAACGTGGTGACCCACTGCGGATCAGAGATGTTGGCTGTGTTCGCTAAGGCCACCTGTCAGTTCATGGAGGAAACCAACCTGGCTACAGAGACTAAGGAGTCAGCACATCCTTACAAGTCTAACACTGAGATCACTGACAAGGTACCTGACGCTTATCGTAGTAGCTGTAACAGTTATACATGTACATGTAGTTACCTATAAAAGTACAATGTAAGGGACATGTCTGAAGGTAACATGAAGCAACCAACCCAACCTCTGAGACTACATTGTACATGCAGGTAAAGAGTCGGCACACCCTTAGAAGTCTAACACTGAGATTACTGACAAGGTACCTGACGCCTATCAGAAATAAAAATTGACTTAATTTCCAAGATTTGAGAGACCAGTGTTTCTGTTATTTTCTGTTTAAGTCGGTAGAAAGGCTGCCAGTTTACCTGTACCTGTACCACCCCCACCCCCCAAGTGCACCAGTTTGTATTTTTTATGAAGTCAGTAGAAACCCTGCCCATTTACCTGTTCCTCCCTCCCAGGTACACATCCCCAATGCTGTGTTCCTGTCGGTGAGGTTCGACCCACAATGCCATACAGAGGAGGACTGTGATGAGCTGGCCATGTCATCCAGCAAGGACCTCAAACAGGTCAGTATTCTAGTCTTAATAGTTAAATTAAATATACAATGTATATGGAAATGGATTTTGTTCCTTTCACCATATTAAGATCATTACCTATCTGCAGAATTACACAATACAAACAACAAAATGTGCCAGCATTATTTGCAGGGTTGACTTGGAGCCACCAATAGCCACCATAGTGATTATGATGACTTCTTGTACGATATTTGCCCTTTGTGTATGATGCTCATGTATTGTATGATTATCATCATTGTCATTGTATCAAGTTGGACACTGCTCTGTGAACTGGCTTGTCCCATAGCCCTTCTTCTGTTTGCAACAAAGCTGAAATAATAAATACATACATGACAGTGTTTGAAATGTCTGACTGAGTGTATATGTCTGTCTTTTGATTTCCTCAGGACCGCCATGTGTTCAGCGGGCCCCACAACAAGTGGGCCGGGTTTGACATCCCGGGAGACACTCTGTACTACAAGTTTGAGGGGGACAGCTCCTCCAAGCTATGGGGATTCAAGTGAGCACTGTCTTCTTTCCTTTTTATTGATTTCCTTTTTTTTTAATTCATCCAGCAATAAGTTAGCAAATGAGGAGAGTATTATCTTAGTGTATTTTGCAATAACTCAACAGTAGCTACCGGTATGATTTTTTAGGTGATATAATTTTTTTAGATGGCTATGTTAGACTTGTGATGTGTATTAGACATGTATATATATATTGTATTTTAAAGTGAAATTGTACTATTTTAACCTACGTGTTCTTGATGTTGATTTTTAAATGATGATGATGTTTTTAATCTATTGTGATGATGTTTGTAAAATGTCAATGCAATTCAGATGTGCCCGAAGTACTCGGCACGTCTGCAATGTTGATATTTAATAAAGATTTGATTTGATTTGATTTGATTTGATTAGACATAACATCCACTTTTCTGTAGTCATTCCTGAAATCATAGCCTTTACTGAAAGCACCTTTTTCCAGTCTGATAACACTGTGTGAATGAATGAATGAATTAAGTTATTAATTAATTAAATAATTATTTTTTTATTTTCTTTCTTGCGACCTTTCTTTGTTGTCCAGCCCATATATGGGCTTATGAGACACCAGAACATAAACATAAGTACAGAAACCATAGAAACATAAATTCAAGTCCAAATCAAAGGTCAGGTTTTTAGGAAGGGAGGTTTTGGTGGAAGCATTTTGCCTAATATGTAATGAATTGACCACCCATGTTGTAGGTTTACTGTGACTGGAGGCAGAAGTGGCAGGTTCAACACAGGTTACGTCATCCTCAACACCCTGCTGTCCAAGTCAACCGTCTTCTGCCACCTGCCAATCAAACTGCTGTGGGAGTGGCTTGTGCAGGTTAGTAGCAATCTGATTGGCTGTGTTTTCTGCCACCTGCAATCTGATTGGCTCTCTCACCTGTCAATCAAACTGCTATGGGAGTGGCTTGTGCAGGTTAGTAGCAATCTGATTGGCTAACAATCTTCTCCAACTTGCCAATCAAGCAACTGTGGAGTAGCTTAATTGAAATAGTAGCCTGCATAAATGCTTAGGCCAGAACTGGCCCCTTGCTCCTCTTCTTTTTCTCCTCCAGGCAGCACAGTCCTAATCCTTTTGTTCTGAAAACTTTAGTGACCATCCAGTGTCATTAACTATTTGGTCCCACCTTCTTTTGGGGGTGTTCCTCTAGGTCTGGGGTTTCCCCCAAAGTCCTGGTAGTAGGCCCAGTATACAAATGAGTAATATATAAGCATGTTGTAGTAACAATCTGTAGTAAAATGCTACTGTATGTGCTTGATATATCTGCTTGGAGATGACCATGCCAATCTTTCCCAGGTGGCCTGTCGCCAGACCAGCCAGCAGAGGTTAAAGGTCGTGGAGCTGCTCCTGCGCATCCTGACGGCCTGCTCGCTGCGTTCCTATGGCAACGCCCCGCCCGACCAGGACATTGACCTCAGCCTGCTGAAGCCGCTGTGGAAGCTCTACAGTACGATGCCTGATAATACTGACTCTTCGGCTACCATCTTACCTCCGCTACAGAGGGCTCTCACAGGTTTGTTTGTTTGTTTGTTTGTTTGTGGAAGCTCTACAGTTACGATGCCTGATAACACTGACTCGTCGGCGACCATCTTACCTCCACTACAGAGGGCGCTCACAGGTTTGTGGTGAAATGTGCAGTGTTACTAGGATTTGGTAGTTGAACACACACACCACTACTGGTGGACTAGCCCCCTGCTGTAGTGGCCTGTGTGTATGGGAATTGGGAGTTGAACACACACCACTACCAGTGGACTAGCCCCCTGCTGTAGTGGCCTGTGTGTATGGGAGTTGGGAGTCGAACACACACCACTACCAGTGGACTAGCCCCCTGCTGTAGTGGCCTGTGTGTATGGGAGTTGGGAGTTGAACACACACCACTACCAGTGGACTAGCCTCCTGCTGTCAGTAATTGCACAGTTTGTGTGGCCAAGGGCTAAGGAAATGGAGATGGGCGCTGCTCTATGCACCACAGAATGGTCTTGGAAGGATTTTGATTGGGTGGTCAACAACTTCTGTTCACTTTTCCCGACAGAACTGTTCATCCTAGCAGAAGACCTGGCTATGGAGTGGGGCATCGAAGACAGCTACCTTCTGCAGGTACATAACTATGCATGTTTGTTTCACATAACTGTTAAAACACCTTATTCTCCTTGATTGATCAGATTTCTTGTATATTAAACTTTCGCAGTATACAATGACAATGATAATGAAGTTTAAGACAATGAAGCAAGGATTAGGCAAACTATGCTATGCTCTATCTATATCTACATGTAACATTCTAAACTGTACATGTTTCTTCTCTCTTCTTTATAGACATTTGTATTACAAATTTACAGAGTTTTTCTAATACATTATGGTTAACTGAAGACAATATTTGTATGAATATATCACTCTTTCTTAGATGTGCCCATGCTTTGGCCCAATACTGACAGTTTGTACCTGATATCACAGGTGATGGATGAAGATGCCTTCCGTAAGAGTGCGGCCCAGGGTCTCCGGAACGTGGCTGCCATCAGCCTGGCGATCAAGTACAAGAACAAAGCTACAGACGCCGTGGAACAGGCCCCTGCTGCTCCAAAGGCTCCGTGACACTGTGGGACTAGAACCCTGTACTCCTGCATTGTAACTCTACTCAAGGCATTCAGTTTACTGCAGAATCAAGGTACCATATTTATGATGGAAGTATGGAACGCTGAAAAGTTTGATTGGAGAAAGGATCAGTTCACACAAATTTAATTCATAGAGAACATAGGCTACAGATAGAGGCTTTAAAACAGGCCCCTGCTGCTTCAAAGGCTCCGTAACTGCAGGATTCGAACCCTGCACTCCTGTACCATTCAAACATCACTGCAGACTGATTTGAGTCACATTGGATGAACCCTGCACCCCTCTAACCCAAGGCATTTCAACATGATAGAACAACTTGGATTTGGGAAATAGGTACTTTTACATGATTGTAACTTTCTTTGTACATGTCATTTGTATATTAAGTTACACCAAACAAATTCGATTGCTAGTCCTCAGATGAAGGCTACTTCGGCTTTGGAGCAAGCCCCTTGGGAATCAAAGGTTCTGTGATGCTGCGGGATTCAAACCCATGCACTCCTCTACCCAAGGCATTTGAACATGTCGCCATATTTATGTTAGAGCTCAATCAACTTGAATTTGGAAAATGCAGTCTTTAGATGTATCAAATACGTAAGACTTATTGATAAATAATTATTTACTGGTATTATTTTTGAGCCAGAGGAATTCTATTATGTATGCCACTGGCTAATTAATTGTGTTGCATGTTGAACCATTTTAAGAGTTGTTCTGTGTTGTATGTAATATTTCTGGTGTTGTATACAAAATATTCATTACAACAGGTGACAGAGATGCTTTTTTTCCATTTATTGAAAACTCAATAATGTTAAACACAATAAGGTTTACGTTTGCTACTTTACATTTGTTATGTACATCATGAATATGTACATATTAATCAAATGAATGTTGATATCAAAACCCATGTTTTCTTTTAAAAACTCGTACACTTCAAGTGTTGCTTCTTACAGTAAGTCTTTTGCTGCTCATGATTTATTGCAAGTTTGGTAACACTCTACAAATGCCATTGATATATATTAAACTTGGTATGCTAGATAGGAAAAATGTACTATCCAGAAAAATATAAGGCTTTGAAGGAAGAATATCTTAAAGTGAAACGTTAAATATTGGGTACTTCAACCCCAAGACAAGCCAAAGAGAAGTTACCGCAGTATGGCAGATAGTATAATGGTGTAAAATAATTTATAGACCTAATGTTACAGTACTGAAGTACTGTTATGGTACTAGTAATTGCTTGTGAGAATTTGAATGCAGCACGGCCCCTTTACACTAGAAAGCAATGCCTGAGCAACCAAAATTTGATTTTGTGTCAATATTATAACTAGAATATGATGTACAATGCAAAGGTTTTATTTAAAAGACAACTAAAAAACACACAAAATGTACAAAAAAATTATTCTTTTTCTTGATCAATCTGTTAATATTTGGTTGCTCAGTAGTTCCAGTCTTTAGTGGAAAGAGGCTGTTACATGTAATTGTACTAACTGTATATGCCAAAGCTAAGCAATAGACAAAGGCAGAACCATTGCTACAGTCAGTAACTGTAACAGAATAAATGATGTAATATACAGAATAATGGCCAGTACAACGAATGGTATTGAATTTCATAAAAAGGCTAGACATACATCATATATTAGGAGTCATATGAAAGAGTGAAGAATGACCAGCTTCAGAGACATGTAAATTTGAAAAATGAACGAACACCAAGCAGACTGGTCTCTTAGAAGTTTGTTTGTTGCCTTGTTTGTGCTTTCGTGATGAATTTTGACTCTTTTGTTTCGATGGGAAAACTATGCTGCTTTAGGTATATTGTGTACACTATACATACTTTGCTACATACTGGTGGAAATATCTTTTGTAAAGATGGACTTCCACAAATAAAACATTGGAGATTTAGTCTCTGATATTAAAAGGTGTTGATGCAAAATTTGTCTCTTCATTTCATTTGTCTTCTTTCTTCTTAAGAATGTTGGCAGTTCAGATTTTTTTATAAACTCAGATTTTAAGTCATCAAAAAGTCTACCAAATGTAACATTCATCTAAATATAAAATGAGAACATTGGATGCCATTGCTGCTCCAATTTCAAAATTTGCCGTAAAACTTTATAAGGTACAGAAAATAGACTGTACAATGTATGAAATTCAATGTCTCCTATAGATGACTGAAAAATAAAAGGAAAACAATCATATACAAAATTCAAAATGGCCAGTGTTGTTATAGACTTTTGCACAGTTACTTTCTGGTTCTTTCTCCAAGTTTCTTTTTTTTTTTAGTCTTTCCGCTTGTCTCTTGGATTCCTCTGCTTTTCCTCTACTAGTCCGTAGCTCTCATCAGCACTTTTCTGCCCACTGGTGTTCTGACTGGTTCATGTTCATGTAGTTTCCTTCTGTGCTGAACGATGGACGAACAATCATCTATTTCTGTGCCTCTCCTCAAACTTTCTGCGCAATTCTGTTCACTAGTCTATTGCTGTCTTCAGCACCTTTTTGTCCATTGTTGTTCTGGTTCACGTACAGTAGGTAGTTACCTTAAAATTTATTTCTGTGTCTCTCCTCAAACTTTCTGCTCAACTTTGCCCATGACTCCATTTTCGTTGCTCTCGTCAGCACCCTTTGTCCATTTTTGTTGTTCTGATACTCAACCAGGCACCAAAATATCTGCTAAGCCATGGAAATTATCATTTCTTTGCCTCTCAGTAAGACCGCCTCTTGTCCAGATTTTATGGTTCCCCCAAGTGCCCTCTTGAATGGACAGTTTGGACTGTTTCCCTACCTAAGAGTCTCCTCATACTTTCTGTTCAACTCTATCCACTGGTCCATTGCTGTCGTCAGCACCTTTCTGTCCGTTGTTGTTATTCTGGTCCTCGAGGGCCCTCTGATGCTGGCTGATCCACAGGTTAGCGTACAGCCCGCCCTCCCTGTTCAGCAGCTCATGGTGCGGACCCTGTGTAACAATGTATAATAATAATGGTTTATTTCAAATGCAATTTTGCAAGAACACAGTTGGCACTTGGCAGCCAAAGCTGAATTATGTGTATTACTACTGTTCACAAAATTGTAACCTTTACTAGATAACTTTTAAAATTTTAGTAACATAGATAGTAAAGGTATAATTTTATATATAAGTCTAAAATGACAAATTGGATGAAAAACAGATAATAAAAACAGTGGGCATTGTATGTAATATAAAATAGTTAACAAATTTAAATTTATTATTATAAAGCATTTCAAGTTAGGGAAAGTGGGAGGCGTAAAAAGTAGATTTGAAAATGTACAATGTCATATATATGCTCCATAATCGTCGATACATATCTTTGATTGTAAGACCTATGTTTATTGTCTACAAGACGTTGTCCCCTCTTTGACTCACATTCCTGATAGTGTTGTAATGTAACAAATTAAATGTAACATAAAGTTCAAAGTTCACCTGCTCGGCCACCCTCCCATCCTGAAGTACCAGGATCTCGTCAGCGTCCACCACCGTCGAGAGGCGATGTGCGATGAAGATCGACGTCCGGCCTTTCGTCACACTCTGCAGGGCAGTCATGATGGCCTGTGGGCAGGGAAAACATCATCATTAATATATATATATATACAGTCATGTAATATTATATATATATATACAGTAACTGTAACTAGAAACAGGGCAGTCATGATGGCCTGTGGGCAGGGAAAACATCATCATTAATATATATATATACAGTCATGTAATATTATATATATATATACAGTAACTGTAACTAGAAACAGGGCAGTCATGATGGCCTGTGTTTGGGCAAACAAAACACATTCCTAATTATATCTATATGGCCACACCAACAGTTAAGTGATGAAGTCCAGTGAATAGGTTAACAGTTATTTTTCTCTGCTTAAGGGTAGCCTTTTGGCACCAAGTCTGACCTTGCTTAAGAGCCAAGAGGCAGCATTTAAAAGGTTAGCTCTTGTCCTGCTGGCATTTTGTACACAACATTTTTCAATAATTTCACATCTTAATTAGGTCATAGACCCCCGACTTTTTTTGCCCGCCGGTGGCATAGTTTCTTTCACATTCGTTGCATTTTGCTGCGGTGTGATGCGTTGCACGAGAAATACCCCCAAATCGTACCTATACAGAGTGCTATATAGATGGTACTGTATGTGCAAAACAACAATTGTTGGGCTCTGCAGGACAAGGGTTTTAAAACCCACCTGTTCAGTGATGGAGTCTAGCGATGACGTGGCCTCGTCATACACGATGATAGGCGGGTCCTTCAGTATGGTCCTGGCGATCGCAACACGCTGCTTCTCTCCTCCTGGTCGGACAGAAACAGAAATAAGATTGCTAAACTAGAAAGGTAACGTTTTCAAAGCAAATGCATCATGTTCTAGCCTAACAATCTGCTGTATTATATGATTGTCAGACATAATCATAACAATAGTATATTGGTGACCAGCCCCTCCAACTCTGTCCTGCAACAAACACTACACAGTGTCTGCTACAGCACCAGTTACCATGGTGACAGACGTCTGGTCCAGGTCATTGACCTTTAAGTGTTTGGAGAAGAAAAATGTGGCTGTACATGTACCTAATGTGCACAAACAATGACCACCTTGCAAACTTACATGACATCGTACTTTATTTGTAAAGTTGAAAGTGACACAGATCAGCTTTCATACACAGTTACGTACTTCCTTACTGATCTCTTGCCATAACTTGCCAACTATTTAAAAATTTTACCACAGTACCTGATAGCTTGAGTCCCCGCTCCCCCACCTGAGTGTCGTACCCCTGTGGCATCCTGACGATGCTGCTGTGCAGTTCTGCCATCTGGGCAGCCTTCAACACCTCGTCTGCTGGGGCCTGGATGTTCCCATACTGCAGGTTGTAGAAGATGGTGTTGTGGAACAACACACAGTCCTGTGGAAGCAAGGGTAAACCAGTGATCCCCGACTGAGGTAAAGTATGATATATGCTTTTCCAAGTATACCTTGTACTTCTTTGTAGTGCAATTCAGGTTCACTATATATAATAGCTCATCCTTATAGCAAACTACATTGGGTCACCCTACTATTCTTAATAAGTGTGCTGGGCTCTTGTACACGTACATGCAGAGGTTATTTACTAATAGGTGCTTAAGGTTGATGTCTGAAGCTCCCTCATACACACGGCCGTCGGTTTTACGTCACCATCAGAAACGACATTCCTCATCGATCACAAGAAGTCCAAGCTGACCCTAGGATCAAACCTCAATCAATCAATCAATCAATCAATCAATCAATCAGGCTCCATCCTACCTGTGGTACCACCTTGATGTGTCTACCATTGGCTCACACAATCAATCAATCAATCAATCAATCAATCAATTAATCAATCAGGTTCCATCCTACCTGTGGTACCACCCCGATGTGTCTCCCATTGGTTCAATCAACCAATCAATTAATCAATCAATTAATCAATCAATTAATCAATCAATCAGGCTCCACCCTACCTGTGGCACCACCCCAATGTGGCTCCTCAGACTGTCCACTGTGATGTCACGAATGTCCTGTCCTCTCATTGGGTCACACAATCAATCAATCAATCAATCAATCAATCAATCAATCAATCAATCAATCAATCAGGCTCCACCCTACCTGTGGCACCACCCCAATGTGGCTCCTCAGACTGTCCACTGTGATGTCCCGAATGTCGAACTTCCCATTGGCTCACACAATCAATCAATCAATCAACCAATCAATCAATCAATCAGGCTCCACCCTACCTGTGGCACCACCCCAATGTGACTCCTCAGACTGTCCACTGTGATGTCGAGAATGTCCTGTCCTCTCATTGGGTCACACAATCAATCAATCAATCAATCAGGCTCCATCCTACCTGTGGTACCACCCCGATGTGGCTCCTCAGACTGTCCACTGTGATGTCCCTGATGTCCTGTCCTCCCACTGTGATCCGACCCCCCATTGGGTCGTAAAATCTGTACAGTAGTCTCACGATCGTCGACTTCCTGAAGTAGGCAGACAGCGAGAGAGTGAAGAAAGGTTCCCAAATCTTTCACAGAAGGCTAAGTTCAAATGTCTAACACGATCAGATAAAATTCAACATGCATACAACATCCGTAAAATCATTGAATCTTGGTAGTTTTTCCAGTGCTATTACATTGTACATGTATAGTCAGATTAATATGGTCATCTTAAAAAAACTTGAATGAATTAATGGTTTATTTAATATATATCATTGTTATCATGACAGATGATAGAAGGTCAGCCTTTATGGCTGAAGTAAAGTATGATTTACAATTAAAAACAATAAAATGTATTACATGTACACGATGTACATAGACTAAACATTTCAAACCAGATAGGACAGCGTGCTCCTCTCACAGCTTATTTATGATGCTAAATCTCTGTAACTTATTGAATACAGTAAATTATGTACTCTCACCTCTCAAATAGGTCTACCAGATAGGACAGTGTGCTCTTGTCTTGCAGTATCAGGAAGTTCTACATTAATTTTTTTTTCAACATTTCTGATCACTAACATGTAACAATTAATGTAACTGTTTGAGACTCACCCTGACCCACTGCCTCCAACAATGGCAATCTTCTTCCCTGTAGGAACCTCAAAACTCAGGCCCTTTAGGATCTCCTGCCCCTTCTGGTACTCGAAAAACACATCCTCAAACCTGATGGTGGCTTCTGTTGGGGATAGCTGCAGTGCTGGGGCCTGGATTTTAGACTAACATAGAAAAAGACAAGTAAATGGTGTTACTGATGGCTGCAGGGCTGGAGCCTGGATTTTAGACTAACATGCAGAAAAAGACAAGTTACTGTGTTACTGAGAGCTGCAGGGCTGGAGCCTGGATTTTAGACTAACATGTAGGGAAAGACAAGTTATGGTGTTACTGATATCTGCAAAGCTGGGGCCTGGGGCCTAGAGGTAAACAAATTTCATTCTCCAAAAGTCTGTCATTCAGCTTTGATAACTTCCTTCACAATGACGTTTCATCAACATATAGCACTTAAAATAGTTAAATCAAAGTCATTGTACTTCATTGGTTTTGATTTGTACACTCCATCCAGCTCATTATGCAATTCTTTTCTCTTCATTTGTTGTTTTCTTGTTTTTGTTGACGTGACGTCTTGTATGTGTTTTATTACTTTTGCCCAATGTTTAGACAACTATGTGAGGAAAAAAAAACAGCCCAGTGCTGACCTTGATGTTTGTATCCAGACTGAGGAGGCTGAACATGGTCTGCATGTCGATGAGGGACTGTCGCACCTCTCTGTACACTGAGCCAAGGAAGTTTAGAGGGAGGGAGAGCTGGAACAACAGCCCATTCACCATCACAAGGTCTCCTACTGTCATAGTGCCTGTATAGGGGGAAAATAGAGACCAACTGAATATAGTCTTTTAATAGTCTAAGAGTTTCTTGGACATTCTTGATTATTGGAATAATTGCTTTGACCTATCTAGGAGACCAGGAAGTTTAGGGAGAGGGGGAGCTGGAACAACAGCCCGTTCACCATCACAAGGTCTCCTACTGTCATGGTACCTGCAGTTGGACAATAGAAACTGTTACGATTCAATGTAGTCTTAAACATTCTCCATCATTGATCAGAAGTAATTTCTTTAACCTCTTTGAAAACCCAGGAAGTTTACAGGGAGGAAGAGCTGATTGAAATAGAACTTAAAGGATAATCATCATCACCAGATCTCCTACTGTCAAAGTACCTGCTTCCCAAACTTTGTAAGAAGTGTAAAAACACAGTTAACAAGTCTTGATAATGATAAAAGATAAAAAAACAGGATATAACATTTCTTTCATCTCCTCAGCAGCATATTCATGATACCGGAATCCTCTGGCATAGTCTGTTTTCTTTTGATGTCACTTTTCTAAAGTTTTAGTCAGACATGGTTATTTTATTCAGGCTCCAGGCATCAAATCATTACCAGCTTCTTGTGTTACATGATTGTACATATTAGCCAGAAGAAGAGCATAATGATTGCTTTCTGGTGGTGACATTTTCCCCATCCTCTCATCAAAGACCTTTGCGTGGTGTGCGTACATGTACAAAACGTCATAGATATGGATCCGGAGAAGCTCCAGGCAACCAATTGCAATCATTGCCGGCTTTTGTGTTATACACGTGCACAAAGCAAAAGAAGCGCATATTAGCCAGAAGAAGAGTGCATAATTATAGCTTTCTGGTGGTGACATTTTCACCACCCTCTCAGAACTCACAGCCTTCCCACTTCTGCGTCATGGCAGCTCCAAGCATCTACTCATTAGCTGCCTCTTGTGTTACACAAAGCAGAGGAAGAACATATCACATTCTGGTGGTGACATTTTCCTCCATTACGCTTTTTCTAGTCCTTCAAGACAGGAAGAGAACTTTTCTCAAACTTTGTAGAAAGAGTGGACATACATGTACATGTACAATATGACTAATGCGAATCAATACGATAACATCTTTTTGCCACTTCAACACCAACAGACAACAGCTAATGTGGACTGACACTCAGCAAAGAAATGAGTGACAACGCACTGTGGTTTTCTTCTCTTGTAACATATCTTGCATCCACAGTCTGCCTTTTAGATTCTTCCTGTCAACAAAAGTACAACAAACTTCACATTCCCTGCCCAAGTCTATCCTTCAGGCTGATGATGAACAGAATCAGCTTCACTAGGGGTGGGTACCGGTTCAGTCGGACCGGTTTGGACCGGAACAACACTCAAGAACCGAGTCCAAAAAACCGAAACGTGAAAACCGGATGACCGGACCTGATGTACATTTCTCTTTCTGTAGATTGTACACACAACACACACATCTTTAGATAATCTGGCCATGGCAGGTAAAAAAAATAACCCTGAATCATACTAGATCAGCCTAAATCCATGTTTATGCGTTCAAAAACAAGAAAAAAATGTTTCCCGGTATTAATCTCTTGAAACACGGCGCTGAATATTGACGCAAAAACATTTCGTGCACGGCGAGCCCTCCCCCATTGTTCAGACTGTGACGCAATCCCGCGTCACGTGTCGGCATTTCGCATCTCTGATTGGTTGTTGCGCCCGGTGCTGGCAGCGTAGCGGCAGACTTGAGCAAGCCGACGCGCGTGTAAACAACTTTTCTTTGTTCGATATCGGCGCTAAAATTCTATTTTCCACAACCACACATCGATATTCTAGTGAAGAAATGCATAGTTTCAAGAATCTTTGGAGAAAATATATGCTTCTATGCGGATTTTTAGCGTTTTCGACGTGATTTTGTTGTCACTTAACCCGGAAGTGTGGACCGCGGCGTGGCTAAATTTTTAGCGTATTTTACCCTATGTTTTACCAACCAAAACAATAAACAACCCCCGCTAAGAGAACCCTGTAACAGTTTAGATCGCAGCAATTAAGTGTTTGATCAAATTATTTGTGGATGTGCTGGCATTTCAGCCGTATTATTCATCGGGAAAAGCGGCCTCATGTACGGCCGTGTCGTGTACACGAAGAGTCTCGCTTGCCAAAATATGATATACTATACTACTGTACAATAATCAGGTCCGGTTCAGGTCCGGACCTGGACCTGATCCTCTGAACCTGATCCGGACCTGGACCTGAATTTTCTATACCGGTACCCACCCCTAAGCTTCACCAGTTAAACATAAGCTCTTATTGTCCACTGCCAACTCATCAGTTGACAAGGGTTTAATAATATATAATTTCTCCCATATCCTGTACACGTGGTACATGTACTTACACAACAATCATGTACCCTACTAATAAATAAAAAGCCAAAAAAGTCTCCTCCATGTATCAGGCACACTTACTTTTACAACATGCCTATGATGTTGCATATTGTGTAACAAGTAGTTACTTTATTGTATGACATAACTGCACACTCGGAGCGACTTTTTGTAGTTCGGTGCTTCTGGGGGAGACACCCAGTAATGTTCCTCATACTAAATATTGCTTTTATCTGAATTACGATTTTAACGATTTTAGATATTTTTATTAAGCGAACCAATATTGCCTGCCAATTTGTACACGAGTCTGTCAATTCAGCCTGTTGGCTGCCATGTGACTTGTCTTTAATTTTGATAATAAACCAGACTCTCACTTTACTTAGTAGTAACTCCCTAATATGAATGTCTGGAATCATGAAAATCGGGGGAAAGACTCATGATCATGCAGATTATCAGAAGCTCACAGAAGTAGCCCATTGGCTGGCTACCTGCTAAATATCAGCCCAGTCATTGACTTCATGTGAAAAGTTTACAATGGAGAGCCCCTACTAGACACAACCATCCCCCACTTCAACATGAAAACGTATTGAATAAAAGGACTGGTGATATGATTAAAGATGAAACAGGATAGGCCCTTTCATAACTGTGGTGCTGAAGAGATGAAAGAATTTAGGGCATCTTTCATAATGAAACCAGCGTAGATTCCCAATTATGTGGCAGGAAAAGGCCCTGAGGCAACAATCTACTTCATTTACTATCTATTGTGACATTTGCCTGGTGTACGTAAATGTGCTGTTGCCAATGGTAACAAAATATCATGAATATGGGTCCGAAAAAGCTCCAGGCATCCAATCATTGGCCAGCTCTTGTGTTACACAAAGCAGAGGAGGAGCATATTTATTATCATATTTCGGTGGTGAAATTTTCCTCGCGCACTCAGAACTGGCAGGCTTCCCGATCGAGTGCGTCTACCTCCTGCCTCCTTCTACCGGTAGTCACAAGCGACACCAGAGACGCGTGCTGCTTAGCCATCTTACATCCTTTTAAGGGCAGGCTACGTTCCACCGGTGAGAATGCATTGATTTTGTTTTGGATAGTATAATTTGGTGGTGACAGTTTCCTTGCTCTCTCTCTCTCTTTAATCTCTTTATTTCGATACCCTTTAGCCAAAACGGTATCAAAAAGTGTTGTCTGTCCTTGGGACAGGGAGCAACAAAATCAAATGCCTGAGAGATCTACCCATAGTCCCCCTTCCCTGTTGAGGGTGGGGTTGTACATTCTTCCATATATTTCCTCTTTAACACCCCGTTCCCGTGTTTCGCGGTCTAAGATATCCGTGGACTCGAGTTTGAAAGAGTGACCCTGGTTGTGTTGTGGGTGGTTGAAGATGGCTGAGGAGTAGCCGTTAGCACTAGGTCTGCAATGTTCCTTGTACCTTACAGCGGCCGACTGGTCTCTCCGATGTAGGTGTTGTTACAATAGGACTCCTCACATTTGAGTCTTTAAATAACATTTTATTTTTTGTCTGAGGGTTGAGTGAGGTTTGAAGTTAGTGCCTGGCTATGTTGAAGTTTTGCAAGATCCGTCGGAGTTTCTCAGATACTCCTTGGATATACGGAATAGTGATGTTGACCTTGTTGTTGTTGGTCAATGTTCTGCACTTCTGTGTTTTTTTTAGACTGATCCGAAGGTTTGAGCACTTTGTTGAAAGTCCAGTTTTGGTAGCCACACTTAGCCAGGGCATCTCGGAGGTGTCTATGTTTGTCCGTTTTGGCTTGGTCTGAAGTGATAATGTTGTTTGCACGATGGAAGAGAGTTTTGATCACTGCTAGTTTGTGTTCCAAAAGGTGGTGGGAATCAAAGGCCAGGTATTGTTCAGTGCGGGTCGGTTTCCTGTACACTTCAAAAGGAAGGTTACCATCTTCCCCTACAATTATTGTTTATTGAAAACCAAAACCCATCGCAGCCTCACGGCTGAATTGTGAGGTCGAGATCTGTACACAAGTAGCGAACACGTTACAAATTGTTAGACTATCTTATTACATTTCAAAAAATACGTTAAATTAAAATTATTACTTACAACATTCTAACTTCAAATACTAAAATTTGCAGTATATGTACATTTTAAAAACATTTTTCAATCATTCATAATCTTTAAAATAGATATATTTGTAGCTGCGACATTTGAGCGAATTAAAACAATTCTGAAAGAATGGCATTAAAAGACACATTCATTCGGATACAATAGTCTATACTTGAAATGGGCACGAAATAACAGATTATTACAAAGTCTCATTGTACAGTCTGACAGCGGTGTACAAAAATGATTTTCTGAGCCGCTCTGTTCTGGCCAAGGGAAGGCTGATGTTGTCATGGTTTCTCAGTTTACGCCCCGTGGATGCCAGTCTCTGAGGTGGAACCAGTTCGTGAAGTGGATGTTCTGGTTTCATCATGTTCTTTAGTAGGGTAATGGCCGCCAACTCCCTCCTTTCCTTGAGGGAAGGGAGTTTTGGCACAGTCCGTTTGCCTCCACAAGAGATTATGCGTAGTACTCGCTTCTGTACTCTTTCAATGTCTCTCTACAATAGTTTTGGTGTCTAGGAAAGGGAGCATGTTTTCATGACTTGGCTCCTGTGTGAACTTGATGTTGTCATCTATCTCATTCTGATCTGGTTGATGTGGTCAAAGAAATCAACAGCTACCCTCTTTTTCAATCTGCACCAAGTGTCATCTACATATCAAAACCAGTTGGCAGGGGGAGTGTACATGTCATTGTACATGTAAGTGCTGAGGGCTTTGTTTTCAAACTTCTCCATGTACAGGTTTACAACAATTGGTGAAACTGGTGATCCCATCGCACAGCCGTGCATTTGTTGGTAGAACTGTCCTTTGTTGGTGAAATATGTGCATCCTAGACAGAGTTCTAAGAGTTCACATACATTTGTATACTCGGTCAATGGATAGGTCAGTTCTATCTGCAAGTGCATTGTCAGTTTCCAATTTAGCTTCCCTGACTAAGACACAGCTTCCTTAGGTGGTATGGAGGTGAAAAGTGAGCACACGTCATACCCATACGTTATGAATTATGCAGGCTCTATTCTGCATCACATCTTGTAACTTAGGCCACATCAATTTAATTTGTTGTTTCTCAGATTTTTGCAGAAAAAATATGAAGCGACCAAAAAAAAACAGGCCAAGGCACCCCATGATAGCTGGAAATGGTACAATATGAGCCATGAAGTGAATATACCAAGGCTGAATTAT